CTGCAGATGATAGTGCTTGTAGAATGACTATAGGATGGCTAATATTAGTTTTAAGATTGAGCATACTATTAACATTGAATTATGTCTAAATATATTGTATTTCACTCTGATTTGCACCCGATCACACATAAAATTCTTTGGATTTTAGTTGAAAAATTAAAAGAGCCTTAGTCTAGGGGACAAATATTTTTTATCCTAATAAGGAAACAAATTTATTTTAGAAAATTTGATCCAATTTGAAAACTAATAGAGTTATTTAGTTGTTCTCTTGCTTTCGTTTTATCTTAAAAATTCTTTTTAATCTTTGTTATTTCGTGTTTTTCTACTTTTTGTTTATTCATGATCTAAGATTTTTCTCTATTTTTTTTTTATCAATAGTCAGGAGTGTCATGACAAGTTTACGCGCACTTTGATTAATTTTATCTCCAGTCCGGTTAAAAGTAGATTATCCATGCTGGAACTAAGATATTCATGAGGGATAAATCCTTCATAGGTTGACCTCAAGAGATTACCTAGATTCAAATTTTGAATGTCTAGATTTACAAATCATTTATATTACCACTTGAACAACGTACTCTCACGGTTTGTACGAGTTTTCTCAGTTTGATCCGCGGATACCTTCTTTTTTCTCTCTTTAGTCTAGTCTCCTCCACTAGTCAAGTTGGGATTCCCATCTTATGAGTACTATGTTTTTGGAAATCAAAATGGATGGTTTGAAAAATAGCTTGGAAAATTAATCTAGTGGCTCCACCAAGAAGACCCAAAAGATAAAGAAATGAGAAGATTCCGAACATAAACATGCATGTACCCTACTAGTTTTTCTTTTTGGCTGAACTTTGAATAGCATTGAAAACAGGAAATGTATTTTTTTGTTAATTTATTAACTTAATCGGGTGATCTAGTTCATAAATATCATTGTATTGAATTGTGAGTTCTAACTACTACTAGGATCTATAGTCAACAAAATTTTTTATTTTTGGATTCATCAGTCAAGGATGTATAGGTCAACTTATGCGCATCTCGACTAATTTATTTTCTTGGTCCAGTTAAAGATAGACCATCCAAAATTCGAACTCAAGACGTCTGAGTTTACATCTCATCCTTGCTATCAGTTTAGCTACCCGTTTGAGGTTAAATAGTCAATCTAATGACACTTACTGATTGGGCTAATCAATCTATCAACACAATCTTAAGTTACCAAATAATGTTAAAATTAGAAACCCAGACCAATCCAACATATAGCTTCTTGTAGAGCACAATTCCCAATTGAAAGTGATTGTTTCTGTAGGTTAGTAGTGTTTTATTGCAGACTATGTTTTTTGCTTGATGGTTAATATATATTAGTTTTAAGATGGAGCATATTCATAAAAACTGTATTATTTTTCTTTATTGTTGATGTTTTGTATTCCTTTTCGATTTTGCACCTGATCAAACATAAACTCATTTCGATTTTAATTCTTGATTTTCAAGAGCCTTAGTCTAAGGAGCGGAGGTAATTTCCAACCCTACTTAGGAAAATATTTTTCCATAAATCTAATCTAATTAAAAAAACTAGAGTTTTTTAGGATGATTTCAGTATTATACAGTTGTTCTCTTAGTTTCTATAAATACCGACCAATAAGTAGTTTCCTTTTTAACTAGACTTTAAAATACCATGGAGAATAGAGAAGATATGTCTTAAGTAAACTACTTTAATATATTTGTCTTTAACGGATGTGAAAAATCTCATGTGTCATTCAAAATCCATGTTAGTCAAGTCACACACACATACACATACTATTTTTTCTTTGATTTTTCAAATGTTCTTTTGAGACCATTCCATGTGGCCCCTCACCTCTTTTCTGCTTTGCCTGTTGCAAGCTGTTTTTTTTGTTGCCAAACCATTTCAGTGTGCAAAATTTATCCAAAAGTACAAACTGGGAGAAATGCCTGGAGAGAGAAGAGGAGTGGGAGAGAGAATTAACAAAGAATTAGAAGCAGAAAAACCATCAGTACTTAGGCGATGATTGTGCTAAATCATTCGCTAATCTCTCCTTATATGCTATAGGAATGAATTACTCTTGACTCGATATCGTGATTAGCCCAAAAAATGTAACTAATATGTATTCTTTCTTCATGACAAGGCCAAATTTTCTTTTCAGAGTGAGTAGACCGGGTTGTTCTCTCATTTTAGGTGTTATAAGCACTTTAAGTAAAATAAATAGAGGTGTTTGAAATAACTTGAAGTACTTTTAAACAAATTACAAAAGATTTTATCACTTAAATAAGTTAATAATTAGAAAAAAATAATTTATTTCTTTAAAAATAAGTTCCTCATAAAATATTTCTCATTTTTCACCCCCCACGACCGTCGTCTTACCATCACCATCCTTGTTATCACCATTACCACCGCCTCTAGCACAACTACACTAGCACATTAATCTCTACTATCATGGTCATTGTCGGCAACAACTATCGTTGACATCACTAGGATTCTCAGGGTCGTCATTACCACTCTCAACCCACAACCACATTGTCATTAGCTCCACTATCACCATCAATACCATAACAAACTCCAAGGTCACCCACTCCACCATCACTATCGCTGGCACAATCAGCACCCCCACAACCATTGTTGTCATGGCCACCACTACTATTGCCACCACCATTGCCGTTGACATTATTACCACAAGCACCACCACCTTTTGCTTTATGTATTAATAATTGAGGATATATTAATAATTATGAAACATATAAGTATTTTTTTTTGTTGATCATATACAAATGCACTTTTTTCTGAAGTGCTTTACATAATTACCTTTTTTATGAACAATCAAAAAATACTTATTCTTTTATAAAAAAAATTTCATAAATACTTTTTTTTTTAAAAAAAATACTTAGAAATCATCCTAAACGCTTCCTTAAAATATCGACTCCTACCTCCCATCTACCGCATAGGAGGTCAACTACTAATGAATAAAACATATCTTATTTAATAACCCAACAACTTTTCTCGAACCACCAACAATCATGTGAACAGTCTCCATAATCTATTTCATTAAACAAAAATTTCTGATCAACGAAACAATCTTACTGACAAAAAAAAAAAAAAAGAAGAAAAGGTTTAAGTTGAATGGGATATATCCATCCTTGGACTTGTTCAAATGCGTGTGTTTCCTTAATCTGACTACTCATCTCTTCTACAGTAATGTTATTGAATAATACCTAAAAAATTGATCTAATTTATTAACCTAATGATATGATTAGGCTTGTCAATGGATCGAATTTGGATCAGATTTTGACTGATTCAAATCCGAATTTGTTTTCAAAAATCTGATTGGATAATTTAGCAAATTTTATTTTCGCAGTCTATATTTGAATTTGTTAACAATCCTAAAATTTGATTCCATTTAAATAACTTAATTAACTAAATTTTAACAAATTATACCTAAATTTCAACTATCTTTTTTAAATAATTATTTAATTTTTTTAATATTTATATTTTTATAAAATAGGACAAGATTCAATAAATTCATTTGACAGTCTCAAATAAACTCATCCAACGGCCGCCAACATCTCTCTTAAAACTATTCACATTGTACTGTTCCGTCAAACACGAGTTGTCCGTAGTATATAAATAATTCAGATCGAATCGGATATATGTATATCCAAATCAGAATCCGTAAAATATAAGATATTGAATTATTCTTCAAATTATTATGTCAATAAATTAAATTAATTTTTTAGATCGCAATAGAATTACTCTTCCATTTTGAGTAAGATGAATACTTTGATATCTAGCCAATGTAACCATTTAAAAAAGTTGTTTAATGAAATTATGGGTAGCATAAGTGATACCATGGAATAAACTCCNGATGAATACTTTGATATCTAGCCAATGTAACCATTTAAAAAAGTTGTTTAATGAAATTATGGGTAGCATAAGTGATACCATGGAATAAACTCCGAGCAATGCTACACAAACCAAAAAAATAGGACCAAAAAACAAAAGACTATCGTGCCGAGTAAAATTTAAAATAGCAAAAAATGGGACCAAATGTATTGCTATGTGCACCAAATGATATGACAACCCCATATTTAATGAATGTGTAATAGTGTTAGTGGGTCCCACAAATCCAACACTCATATCATTTGGTGTCGAAATTTAGTATATATTTATGAGTAACTCGTGTTTTCAGGCACGATGCAACGTAAATCAATTAATTAATTTAAAAATATGAGAAATGAAGATCTCAGAAAGAGAGAGAGTAAAGAGTGAAGAGTGAAGAGAGGAAAATAAAATTCAAATGATTTTAAGAGAGATATTGGTGACCGTTTAATGAATCTATTTGAAAGCGTCAAATAAACTTATTGAAATCTACCATATTTTATATTATAAATTTTGGTGCATATTTAATAAAGTGCCACAATATAAAATTAAGCTTCTGTCTATTTGTTGGCTACCAAACGCATGGCAGGTTGAGCTGAGTCGTGTTATTGACTTGGATTAGTTTGTGTTGTTTTTATGTAGGCCAGAGTAGGGTTTATTCTTCCTAATCTCTGCTGCATTAAATCACCACCATGCCCTTGATTGAGACCTTATATCCTATGGAAATGGAACTCGTCTTTTGAGCAGGTTAGGTAATTGGAAAAGATTTTCTCGGAAACAGATAAGTCCCGTTAAATTTATTAAATAAATGGGTTAACATGAAATGAACTAAATATAACGACAAAATAATAATAATCTAAACAAAACATATTAAAACTTGGCTATACAGAAATTATAAATATATTATGCATGATACAATTAAATTTTAACATGAATTCGATAATCGATAAGCTCCAAAGTCAGCGCCACCATTCTTAACTCTAGTTTGAGGCTAACCTGATGACGTGTATTTTTTACAGATTAGGCTTTAACGACCCTTTCAATATGAGAGAGAGAGAGAGGAAGAGTAAACATAGTAATTTCCCTATCCGAGTTATATAAATCTGCCCACAAGTTCATCCTCTTGCACCTTGTTCACTGCCATCTCTCTCTCTCTCTCTCTCTCTAAAAGTAGCATGGTTTCTTGTGGATTTTCTGTGATCACAAAGAAGACAGAGGTGGTGGCAGCGGTGCTGCCAATGCAGGAGCACTGGTTACCAATGTCAAACCTGGATTTGCTTCTACCACCCTTGGACTTTGGAATTTTCTTCTGCTACAAGAAAAGACCTGACCAAGAACAGTTCGAAAACATGGTGAACACCATTAAGAAAGCCTTGTCTCAAGCCCTCGTCTCCTTCTATGCATTAGCCGGAGAAGTAGTTCAGAACTGCCTCGGCGAGCCTGAGATTCTTTGCAACAACCGAGGCGTCGATTTTGCCGTAGCTTATGCAGATGTAGAGCTCAAAGACCTGGACCTCTATCACCCTGATGACTCCGTTGATGGGAAATTGGTCCCCATTAAGAAGCATGGTGTGCTTGCCGTTCAGGTGAGTTGTTTTTTTTCGTATAATCATTTCGAATTTGTGTTATAAGTACTAGTATTTATTGTTTAATCACATTAAATCCATACTTTGGAATAAAACCACTTCTTTCTTGATCTAACAAGCCTTTCCTTATAACTCTCAAAGTATTCCTACAATCCTAAATCAAGAAATGAGAAAGATAAAAATAAAAAACTTCCCCCTTTTCTTCAGATTTTATTACTTAAACGTCTTTGTCATGTCAAAAATTGGATTACTTATGTCTATTCATCGAGTTGTTTTTGAGTTCAAGAACTAATCATAATAACCTATTAATTTCCAATCGATGGTACTTTGTTGTGTCGAAAATGAATACTATTGTTACAACAAAATGAGACGTACGGCAACCATATAATAAACCAGTACCCCGTATCTATGCTGGCATGCAAAGGCAAAGGAAAAAACCCAAAAACCATTCGATAGTCTCTATGCCATGGCGTGGAAAAGGACAAACACTAAGATGACTTTGAATCGTCTTGTCCAACCTCATCAGCTCACCTGAGGTTAAAATCCAAGTTTCTACCTCTAGAATAAAGAATATTCTCAAAACAGAATAGTCTGTGGAATGCTTTTATTGTATCGTGTCTAAATTATATAGTGATAATTTTTTCAATTTACAATCGAGTTCATGTATTTTGAGTCATAGAGAGGACGTGTTTTGAACCTCTTCATTAATTAAGGCTCGAAATTTGTTGTAGAAGGTAGCATACATAATTTAAGATCGTAATATCGTTGATTGATGTTGAATAAGCTAACATGTATATTGATTGTGAATAGATAGAAATAAAAATTTTCACAAATGTTAATAAAAAAATGAAGATTTCCAGAGATTTTAGTCATTTTCATGTGCCGTATAACATCGAATAGCATGATTCGACCGAGTCATATATATCCATCAACCGATATCTTGCACATGGTGGTAAATGACTCATGCACAGACGTCGAATTTTCCTGCCAGTTTCTGTACCTCAATACCATTTGCTCACACCACAAAATCAATCAATTATGGTGAGTAGTTAGCTCATCCCTTTCACCCAAATAATTTTGAACTTGGAAACAAGGCATCTTTGCTTCAATTATAAGTTATTATGAGCATATCTAGTACCAATTTAGAGTGTTAAAANAGCTCATCCCTTTCACCCAAATAATTTTGAACTTGGAAACAAGGCATCTTTGCTTCAGTTATAAGTTATTGTGAACATATCTAGTACCAATTTAGAGTGTCAAAGNATCAATCAATTATGGTGAGTAGTTAGCTCATCCCTTTCACCCAAATAATTTTGAACTTGGAAACAAGGCATCTTTGCTTCAATTATAAGTTATTATGAGCATATCTAGTACCAATTTAGAGTGTTAAAAGTGCTATTATTGACAAAAGTCCTAGGAATTATCTATGGTATTGAAATTTTTTTTGATAAAATTAGTTACTACAACAATGGTAAAAACATACACAAGAATAATAATTTTTTTTTATACTTAAGAAAAATGATAACATTAGGGGTAAAAATATTTATAAATTAATAAATCATCCACAAAAGTGAGAAAANTGAAATTTTTTTTGATAAAATTAGTTACTACAACAATGGTAAAAACATACACAAGAATAATAATTTTTTTTATACTTAAGAAAAATGATAACATTAGGGGTAAAAATATTTATAAAATTAATAAATCATCCACAAAGTGAGAAATTTTTTTATTATAAAAATATCTATAAAAATAATAAATTTGGAGAAAAAATCGGTAACGTAGTCAAATCCAAGACCCTATAGTTTTTTAACAAGAATATTTGGACCTAATTTCGGGTTACACTTGATTTTAGGCTTTTAATCTATGTTTTGGTAGTGACATTAGTACTAACCATAATGAGACTTTTCACCCACCCAATCAGGGGGCGAAGCTATGTTTGTCTCAGGGGGGGCACTTGGCCCCACTGAGTTTGAAAATCCTCCGCATATATGTACATGTTTAAAGGTCATTGTAGTCGTAAAATGATACATTGTCCCCCTTATGTTTTATAAAATTTGTATAAATGGCAAAGATCTTTTCAATAAGTAGTGGTCAATAACCCCATACCCAATGAAACAAAGGTACAAAAGATGTGAATTGTCCTGACCTATATTGATCAAAGACAATATTTACATTTAATGCATTGCTCATATTTTCTAAAAATAAGTGTATAGTTGAATTTCACTATTTTGATAATTTAGTGACATGTAACCTAGTAATATAATTCGATACAAGTGATAAAATATCCTAACCCGGAAATATTTTTTATTTTTTCAATGAATCAATTCTTCAACAAGATGAAAGGCAATCTCGACTATGCTCCGTAATAAAATGAGAATCAATTCCTAAGAAATTTAACATAGAAAGTATACACGATTTTTGTGATTTGAAAGAATTTTATGTCCATATTTAGTTAAGGTTTAATGGTAACAATTTTATTTTTCATAATAATTTAGTCTTAAATCGTATTTGAACTTCAAAAAAAAAATTATTTGTATTTTTCCCCCTAATATGGAATCTTGGCTCTGACCCTGCACCTAATTGATAATAATTGAACCAAACAGGTGACAGAGCTCAGATGTGGGGGCCTAGTGATTGGATGCTCATTTGATCATCGAGTTACCGATGCTCATTCTGCCAACATGTTCCTTATTGCATGGACACAGATTGCTCAAGGAAAATTTGTATCTCACACTCCAATTTTCAGGCGTTCAATGCTCAATCCACGACGCCCAAGTCAATACGACAAGGCCATTGATAATATGTACCTTTTTTTGTCATCGCTACCACCACCACCAAAAGATCTCGCGCCCAATGAAGATCACCTCATTACTCGTATCTACTACATCACGGCTGAGGAAATCGACAACCTCCAATCTGAGGCCAGTTCCAATGGATCCAGGAGAAGCAAACTCGAGTCTTTCACAGCCTTCCTGTGGAAGATTGTGGCGGAGGGGGGCCATGACCATGACAAGAGATGCAAGATGGGCATTGTTGTGGATGGACGAGGGAGGTTAAACAAAGTTTTGTCATTGGACAATTATTTTGGAAACGTTCTTTCCGTTCCATATGGTGAGGCAAGCGTAGGTGAGTTACCATCATGGCCCCCATGATTTACTTTTGGGTAAAATATATTTTTGGTTTGCAAGGTATGCATTTAGTATTTATTTGATTTTCAATCTTTCAATTGTGTCTATTTGACCCCTAAAATTTTTAATTTGTATCGAAGTGGTCCAATTTCAAACGTCGTTAGAAAATCGTTGACGGTTCTGGTCATGTGTCAATCAAGTGGTTCATAATTTTGTGTCTATTTAATCCCTAAAATTTCTAATTTGTGTATATTTGATTCCTAAAGTGCCTAATTTGTGCATATTTAATCCCACGTGATTGACGTGTAACCAGAGCTATCAACAATTTTTTGGCGGACGTTTGAGATTGGATTACATAGATACAAATTATAAACCTTAAATACAAAATAGACACTACACGCATACTTTGAAGCCTAAAAATTTATTTCACCCTTTACTTTTTTGTGGCATACCCAAAATTGCTAGTAAGATAAGGTTGGGGTGCAATTCACTTCCTAATATTTTGTGATCAATCCTAACTTAGTAGTGATTTGTCCACGTTGACTTGTACTAGTCTTTTTTTAGTGGTAACTTGTCTTCAACTAACTCCTATTTAATTGTATTTTTCATTAGAATAACGAACTTAGTATTTTACTCGTTCCTATAGGTGAAATCAAGATGATGGAGCTCAATCAGGTTGCAGATTCTGTCCACGAATGTGTGGAACATGCTAACCAGGAACATTTTCTGGGGCTGATTGATTGGGTCGAGTTGAATCGACCACAGCAAGCCATAGTAAAGGTCTATTTCAAAGAGAGCAACGACGAAGCGGCGATCGTCATATCATCAGGCCAACGTTTTTCAATATCAGAATTGGACTTTGGATGGGGACGACCCGATTTCGGGTCGTACCATTTCCCATGGGGTGGACAGACTGGGTATGTGATGCCAGTGCCTAGCATGAGTAAGGAAGGAGATTGGGTTGTGTACATGCACCTCCTTGAAAAGCACTTGGATTTGGTTGAGAAGGAGGCATCACATGTGTTTAGGCCCTTAACTCCTGCTTATCTGAACTTGATGACTGATGATTCAGAGATGGTCACTGAAAAGATTAAAATGATAAATGTATGACATTTCATGCAGTTTGTCGTAAGTATATACATGTATGACAATTCATGCAGCTTGTCGTAAATATATACATGTGGCTTTTGTATTTCTTAAATTATGTTGTGTTTAAGTGATAATAAAAGAATTCTTGCTTTTTGTAATCTAAGTCTCTTCTTTTATATTGTGCCAGTATGTTTTCTCGTCTCGATTCCAACACAAAAAACACAATATGAATTGATATCTTCTAAATTTGTATGGGGGGAGAGAGATTTACACAAATATACTTATATTTGGTGGGAGGTGGCTTGAGAAGTATTTCCTCCCAATTTTCTTTTTTATTAAAAATTTAATCATTGTAGTAGAGTGATCTCTCTACAACAAAATAAATACTCACATATGGTGTTACTCTATTACAATGATTAAATTATTAATTAAATTTTTTATTGAGCATGTTACTGTTTGATGTTATTATTTTTTTGTTGAGAATGCTACCGTTTAATATATATATACACACACACACACACACACACACACACACACACACACACACACACTAGTCATAATTCGTGCCTGAAGACACGATAAAATATAAAATTCGAACGTCCAAAAAATAAATCTCATTAAATTAAATAACAATTTTTTTTCCTTCATTTCGTTGATTACATCATTTAAAATTTATTTTTACTAATTATTTTCTTTAAAATGTTAATAATTTTCTCAAAATACACAATTTGACAAAATTTTCTTAACATGTGTATACTATCGTGTATGGATAATGTCGAAAATAAAAACTATGTTAAACTACAAATTAATCAAATATTAAATGATTGAACATGTGATAGAAATATGTAATATGATGTTTTTGAGAGGAAAAATATGTAGGATAAAATTCAAGTTATTAGGTGTTTTATTATATATACTAGACATAACCCGTGCTTGATGGTACAATAAAATATANATGTAGGATAAAATTCAAGTTATTAGGTGTTTTATTATATATACTAGACATAACCCGTGCTTGATGGTACAATAAAATATAAAATTCGAGCGTTCAAAAAATTGATTCTACTATATTAAATTTTTTCAAAATATATAGCTATAAATTAATTAAATATATGATAGAAATGAGTGATGCAATAATANTAAAATTCGAGCGTTCAAAAAATTGATTCTACTATATTAAATTTTTTCAAAATATATTAGCTATAAATTAATTAAATATATGATAGAAATGAGTGATGCAATAATATTAGGGAGAAAATATAGAAATGATTAAATATGTGATAGAAATGAGTGATGTGATTTGACATTTGAATCTAACAAATGAATGATGAGTGAAGTAACTGATTGGTGATAGTTTTGAGGGAAAAAATATGACTGGATAAAATTTAAACACACTCCTATTTTATTTTATATATATATGTGTGTGTGTGTGTGTGTGTGTGTGTGTGTGATAGAAAAATAATTTTAATGTTAGCACAATTTTCAAGTTAAGAGTTGTTATATTTGAAAACATGAAATTAACAATGATAGACAATATTGATAGTAAGGGTAATTATGAAATACATTTTAAAAAAAATTTAAAATATTTTAAAATATGTACTTATTGACAATTATTTGATGAAAAAGATGACTTAATGGAGTATAAGTTTGAAGGTAGTACTTAAAGTCAAATAAGTTCTACAAAAGGTACTCACAACTAATTATCCGTAAAAATAATGTCAATGTTATCATCAAGTGAAAATGTAACAAAAAATTGAAATTAAATTAGCCAAATAACACCAATAAAGGTCGAATTAGTGTTAGTGAATCATAACAGATTTAATTGGTATAAAAATGTATGTTTTAAAGGCGACAACATTATTTTTTGAAAACGTTTTAATAGCTCCGTCCTTGATATCAATAAAAAACTTAAAAAATCTAAAGTAGGCTATTTACTTTTTATTTTTTTCGTCTTACTATATTTACCTTGTAAAACATTTTCATAGAAAAAGAATATACAAACTACGAGATACCATTTAAACTTAAACTTCCTTGGTTTTGATGCATGAATTTTTTATCAAGTGAGCTATAAAAGTATTTGATCAAAAAACTATAAAAGTAGAGAATGAATCATCCATTGGAGTGTTGATTTTCAGCAAACCTTCTGATGTTGGTATCAATTAATTGGTTTTGAAGTGGAATGATGTGGGTTTGTAGAATTTTGAACCTTAGTGCAGAGTGGATGAGGTTAGAAATCTATAATAATAAGACAAACAAATTTGAATTCCCAAAGTTAGCTCACGACAAGGACAGTTCAAATTTGATCCAACTTTATTTACATGGTTTGTATTTCATACAACTTCATCCAATTGTACACAATCCATCCCAAAACAAAAATGTCACCCCAAACATTAAAACTATTTACGTAGTCCCTAACCCTAGACGCCCACCCTACCCTCTCTCTCTTTCTATCCCTCTCTCCCTTGCAACTCTCTTTTACCTCTCACCTGTTGCTCTTCTCTACCATGGCTCAACCCACCGTAGACGACACAACCCAACCCAACTATCTCATCTATCTATTTGTCTCTCTCTCTCTATCCTTTGTCTTCACCTCTCTCCCGTTGCACTCTCTGCCACACATTTCTTCCTTCACCTCACGCACACACATGCACACCAAAAAACACAACAACACACGCGCACACACACACAACACATGCATACAAATCACTCTCACACAAACACCCACTCAAGGCAGAGGCACACACACACACAGCAACACGCACACACACACACACAACACAACACACAGCAGCATGCAGACACAAAAAGCACAACAAATTGACACACAAATACAAGTAGCAAACACACATTGCATGTTAATTTGAGTGTTTTGTAGGAAATTGAATGTAGGTTTTTGAAATTGGGGTTTTCCATTCAATAAGGTTTGTGACAAATTGAATGTTGTATGCTAACTGTTTGGTAAACTGCTTCATTCATAGATATATTATTGTCAAAACTTAGATTAATGGGTTGCAAAGTTTAACATCCTTGGGAACTACTACTATGATCTATTTGAGTTTGGTAATTGTTATGTGCTATTATTTGAGTGCAATGATTTTTTATATCCCTCTAAGATATTGTTGTAGTTTAAGACTTTAAGTAGTGTTGATTGTTCGATCAAAATGACTTTAAAACTTTATGGTTTTTTAATTGGTGAAATAAGGTTTGTGACCAATTAGTTGTTGTTTGCTAACCGTTTGGTAAAATGCTTCACTCATAGATATCTTAATGTCAAAACTTAGATTAATGGGTTGCAAAATTTAACACCCTTGGGAACTACTAGTGGGATCTATTTGAGTTTGGTAATTGTTATGTGTTATTATTTGATTACAATGATTTTTTATATCCCTCTTAAGATATTGTTGTAGTTTAAGACTTTAAATAGTGTAGGTTATTCGATCAAATTGACTTTGAGACTTTATAGTTTTTTAATTGATGATTTTTTTATTTATCCTGTAATTAGTTTTATTTCGCGATTGATTGTGTCACCTTCATGCATTTATGTCACTTTCATGCATTTGTGTCATTTAGCAAGTTCAAGAACTTAGAGATAGGTGACTTGGGTTTCAACGTTTCCGCTTGAGGTGGAGTTTGTGTTTTTACGCTTATATTGTGGTGGCTGGTGTCTGAATTTGCTTGCTTTGGGTTTTAAAATTGGTTATTAATTAATTTCTGATAGTTGGTGGCTACATCACTTATATTTATTTGCGGGTTTTATAATTTTTCTTTGTTGGATCCTTCCTTCTTGAAAGGCTTTTTAGACCATGAGTGGATGAATTACAGCACCTAGGAGTGGAGATGTATTCACAAATCACAACCTGTTCGGAACTCCTCACGCATTCAGCCGAACTATTATGTCTTAAATGGAAAGACTACTGTACGTATTTTTTTATATAAACAGGTTAGCTGAATTTATTCCATATAACTAACTGTTCATTAATATGGTACCAAATTTTGTGTCTGAGATTAGAGTCTAATCTCTTTTGGATATAACCATGGCCTATGCCTGCCACACCTTTGTGGATTATCCTTCTAAAGTGGCTGATACATAGCTTGCACGAACATTTGTGATTGAATAATCTATGGTGAAGCAACCACTCTTATAGTTACTGTAGAACTCTTCCTTTGAACCAATGGGGTGGATTTGTAATGTTACTTGTGGCATTTTTGGTGACAGTATATTATTACTGTAAGCTTGTCGAGTCGTTGCCTAGAGGTGACTATAAAAAAGGAAATAAATTGTGATTTTTAAAAATGTTTCTATGATTTTATTGGGATTTTAACTGTATCACTACCTATGAATGATTCTTAGATTAGTATTGATTTTGTTACAATGCATTAAAACGTGGTTTTCATATGTTTATGTCATTGTTTTCAATTGTCTTGCTTTGCATGGGTTATCTCTGGGATGAATAGGTTTAAATCAGATATGGATTAGGCTCATGAAACAGGGTTGAAAGGTTACTCTTGGATTTGATACGACTTGGGTTAAAATATGCATCGTACATTGAAACAGAAACTGAATTGTGACATTTTCTTGTTATTGATATAGTGGTATTCTTTGCCCCAGTCAAATAAAGTAGGAGAAAACTGGATGAGAAAAAGAAAAAGAGCAAAGGATTTACATCTCATTTTTGTATACCATAATAGTACACTAGGGGCTGAGCTAGGATTTTCTCTTGAGGGGGCCAAATAGCACCATAACAAAATATTTTTTTTTTAATGTGGATCATTCAATAAGATCGTTAATGTCAAATTTTTTCATGCTTAGAGCATTTAAGAATTAACCTCACACGGAATAGTGTAATTTTTATTTTCAATAAAATGAATAAAGTTGATTGAAACTAGTTGAATTATTAGATGTAAAAATCAAACTAATTTCACCATTAATAATTAAAAATAGTCTAAAGTTCATATATTGGTACAATATCAAAATTTAACAATTTATGTAAAAGAGTAATGCTATTGGAACCTAATTTATTAACCAAATTTCCTGACATAATTCACTATAACAATTGGATTGACTATGAGCTCCATCAAATATTGAAATTTGGTGTTAATTCAATGATTATAATGAAGTCACATCATTAGGTCAACAAATTAAGTTA